GAAAGGGTTTTCCTGCCTGAGTGGTCAAAATTCGTTAATATAGTAAATCGAGGTTGCATGTCACTTGCAGCAATTTGAAAATTTCCTGCAAAGTGTGACTTAGTAACGACACGTAATTAGCCGCACTTCTGAGCCTTAATTGCATCTGACATTATTTGCCTGAGCGATTTGAAACTTTTAGGCCAAAAAACAGCCTAGCTAAAAAATCTGTTTTAGCCTGATACTTTTCTATTACCTGCTTCCCTCTACGAAAGGCAAATAATAAAACCAATTTTTAGAGGCAGAGGAGAGAAGAAATTATGGTCAAGTAGTTTATCAAAACTGAAAAGTTACTAGATGCTTGATCAAACTTCCAAATGATGACAAAACTTATTGGTAAAACGAACTATAAATCAATGGTGTTTACACTTCTGCATTTCAGAATGTGAGACGCGTTTTAGTGGTACGCCATGTGTCACCAAACAAGGGAGTTCCACCACCGCGCCGAGAATATGTGGCCTCTAGGCCTTACTACGGCTACACTGTAAGTCATAATGTGCAAACTAATGCACTAAAATCAAAACCCTTCGTTACCAAACTTGATACAAGGCATTTCGTAAGAGGTGGCAGATAATCTGAAAAGTCACAATTTGGCTCAGACTGAAAACTACCGTCTACTCGAAAAATGTCTATTAGAACACGAAGCATACAAACGATAGAGCATACTTTAGAGTTAGTGATTTTTTCCTAACGTAACAATTAAAATCGACAAGGAATATCCTGATTGGAAGTGACTCTAAAAATTGGATTAAGGTAAAATGGTCTATTAAATGACCGCTAAGCAGACCAGAGTTCAAGTTTTCACGCTTCCGCTTGAGATCAAAATTCAAGCACACCTGACTGCATTGGTGGAAGAATTTTTCAGAAAACATGTTGGAAAGTGCGTAAAAACTGATAATGGAAAACAATTTTAAAATTGTTAAGTGTTCGTAGTATATAATACCGTTAGACTGTTTTATATCCGATAAAATGTGCTATTAAAGAAAGACATTTCGACTTCAGTTGAGCTCTAAACTTTCAAATTGTTCACCCACACCTTTGTTATAAGCCATAAAAAGCCAACTGTTCCAAGAGAAAAGTTGCAGGAGCTCTCAATATGAAAGCAGAGTAACAGAAAAAGATTGCTTAGAATTTAACATATTGACAGTACCCGACCTTATAAACCTAATCTTCCTACTGAACCCAAACAACATTCTTAAAAAATTGAAACAAGACCTAGCTGCGCAACGGTACCTGAGATTTCACTCCACCATTTGATTTTCTCCTACCAATAACTTCTTTCCGTAATCTCGAATATATCTTTGCAGTTACTGTTTATTTACCTAGAATGAATTTCTTACAGTTCCACACTTTTGTTCTACTGTTCTTCAGACTGTGTATGGTTTCACACATGCAGACCAAATCGCGTAGATGTAGGCCCTGAGATTCAATTACACACAGGATCTATCGGTTGCTTCTATACCGCTTAGACTAGTTTATAAAATCCGATTTCTTCAGCAAGAAAAATAAGAGGGGACCAAAAATAACACCGAAATTTATTTTCATCGCAGCTTGCAGAACTATAAACTACTGTATTAAAGGAAGTGAGCTGCGAAAAGGGCAACAACTCAAATGCTGGCACTTGTATATAATAAACATCGCAAAAAACTCAGCTCAGAGGCCTACAGCCGCCAAACTTAACGCTGACAAACACACCAAATACTATCTGCAATGCTATGCAACAAAAAGTTACAAATACTACAAACCAAACTTAACGTTATTTCCCAAAAAATAGAAGTGAGTTGTATAGGTGCCTGAAACTACAACGGCTGATCAGATGCGTTATGAGTTTTCTATAGAAGAAAGTTACTGGCGAAAGAGATTATGCTCGAGAGTAAGCACTGTAATCTGCACTAGCCCGTTCATTAAAATTTCTGCCTTTAGGTAAACATGAAGGAAGAGAGAGACTCGTGGTGGTCGGAACACTTTCCAAACGCAAACATTTCCCACAGTCCATCTCCAACAGATACTCCTGCAACCATGATCAGAGTCTCTTGGTAAATCAAAAATAACTCTATATTTTTAGCTTGACTCATGAAGAAACAGAAAATCTAAGTGTAAAAAAAAGAACAAAGCAACCGCAAGTACCAACACCAATACCTAATAACTTCATTTACCCAAAGCGGACTCAGACAAAATACAGCAACCAAATGGTACTTTTTTTAGGCGAGACGGAAAACTTTCACTGTCTTCTCTTCCAAACCCTGTTATAAAACAAAACATTCAGAAAGTTGCCGAACTGACGCACCCAAATGAAATATGTTTTGTGGCATCATACTCTGATGCCGCATTGGAAACAATTGCTATTCTAGGAGTCCTGTCATCCGGAGCTAAAATTGTGCTTGTAAGTCTTAGTTGGTAGCGTTCATAAAATCTGAGAAATCACAAGCAACGATTGCTCAGTGAACGTCTTTTCCCAGTTACAGTCGGAGGTCAAACCTGTCTACTTCCAGCAGACGGTCAAAAGTTTTTTTTTTGACCTAAATTGTTTTCCATCACAAAGACCTAAAAATTGTTGCTGATATCGAATCTCCAAACAAAAAAATTCGAAGCTTAAGTTGTAGTGAAAATTCAGCATGAACGAGAAGTGTCCACCAAACACACATTAGGTCTAATTCCCAAAAATTGTGACAGTATTTACCCAACACTTCATACCGAATTGTCGCTCACAATAAATTTCCGTAATAATTAGTTACAATAGAAGCGCTTCCAAAAAGCCACATCAGTTTACATCAATAAACCCAATTTCGTGATCTTAAACGCTTGTTGCCCGCACCTCATATTAATTGTTAATTTCAGTTCGAAGGAGATGGATGCTATCCAGACTACTCAAGGCTGCTGCAAGTGGTCGAAATTTACGAAGTAAACCAAATGAAATTTTCTAACTTTTTCTAAACGCAATGTATTGGTGTCCAAATTAAGCGTCTTTTTTTTATTGAGTAGGCTCAAGTACTGGATGATTCCGCCTATTTGGTCGACCCTGAGGTGCTCATTCAGAGAAACTAAAACTGAGCATTTAGGTTAAAAAGTTGCTGATTTGTGAAGAAGACCTTAAACCTCTCATCCAACACCCAGAGTATTCACAATTATGGAATACCAGCTCATTAGAAGAAATCGTTATACTTGGAAGCGGTCATGAAAAAGAACCTCTGCAAAAACTGTATGATAAACAATGCATCAAACACTTACCTCTTCTACAGAGTAAAGATACCAATCTTTAAATTTATTGCTTCGTTAAAAGTAGTTTTACAGCAAGTTTCAAGACTGTCCACATTTCCTTCTCTTTTCCGCTACTTTAAATAAACTTTAACTACGCTTACAAACAAGAAATACCCTTCATATTACTTTGTTTAATTGTAGGTGCGCTTCAACCAAAACAAGACAAGTGAGAGCAATACAATTTGAGCACCCTCTTTCTTTTTTCTTATAGGGCATGTAACAAGCTGCTTGGTGACAAGGCAAAGTAGAAATTTATCCCTAAATTTCTATAACTAGAAAGTATGCAAGTAAAAAACTTCCAGCAATTTGAAATAATAATACTACAACTTCTTTAACAGTTTCATTTCTATTCGCAACAAAAGACACTAAGTACAAACAAAATCCTAACGCAACGTGATGACGCAGTAAGGGATCCTAATGAACAGCACATTACAAAAGCGCCCATCAAAAAGCAAACAAGATTAAGAAGCCCATAGTCAAACAAAACAACCCCATAGCTTCAGAAAGCGCAAATCCTAAAATTGCGTATGAGAACAATTGCTGCTTCAAAGAAGGGTTTCGGGCGTAACCAATAACTAATGCACCAAATACGTTACCAATCCCTAAAATGCAACGTGATATCACTTCAGCATAAGTCGGTAAAGAAAAAAAATATTTCTGCGTTTAAATACGTCTACGAATTTTCTTAGAGAATTCACACTTCCAGAACAATGCCATAATTTACAAAAGTAGAAAACTAAGCAGTGGAAAGCTAGAGTATACAAATAATCATTTAAAGGCAAAAGAGCAGATGAAATCGAATACATCTTTAAGCTGTAACAAATAAATCTCTAAACTGAGTATCAAAGTATCATAATAAAAAAACAACTGCTTTCTATTGTTTTAATTAATAATCTTCTCAAAAGTAATGCTTTTTAAAAGAATATTGAATCGCTAACCAAAACTCACACTGCTACTGAACACACTCGACATGTGTCCCAAAACACATCAAAGGTTTCTTACTAAGGCCATGACCTAATAAGCAAAAGAAAGTATCAAGAAATAAACATAAAATACCTGCTCCAGATCCAGCAACGCCAACAGTTGCAGCACCTGCGCCAATGTATTTGGCTGCGCTGTCAATATCCCGTCGCGCTACTGAGGTGTGGAAGCAACGAGCGGCTGCTGCAGCTTCAGCCCTTACAAGAATAGGAGCACGTTGGACCTGAAATGTTTACTTCATTAATACATCTTACACTGATACTAGTTTGCTAGTTTAAAAACATTTTAAGGAGGCTGTAAACTAACCAGGACTCGTGCAAGAGGAAGTGCAAGTCGAGCGCAGTACATTTTTACGGTCAAATGCTGCAGCTATAGTAAAACACACCTGAAACAAAAATTTTTCATTATTTATTGCATATGATGTTTAATTTGGTCAGTAAAAACAGCAATAAAGCGTTCAGAACACTTCTGTCACAATTAAAGACACAAAATTACAAGGTACCACCCATAAACAACAGCTAGTCTAATTGGAACGGCAGTGGATAGCTAGGAACATAGAAGTCCATTCTCAAGTAAATGTAACTAACTGAATATCGTTAGCTACGAAGAAGTCAATCTTAGCAGCACAATAGCGCTTGCTCAGACCCGAGTAAAGTCCAACTGCGGCACTGTGCCAAGTACCCAACATATAAAGAGTACTTGGCACATCTCCGGCAGAAGTCTGGGCCCTGATTTGTTTCATCAGTCCCACTCAAAAACCGGGAAAGTTTTTGGCACCATGCCTCTGCAGTGGGCAACTTTCACCCGCTGTCCGGATAACAGCCTTTCCAAATCAGTGCGAAGTTCATGTTTCTTCTGAAGTTATTTAATTCGAAAGTTTCAGCTTTATGTTTGCTTACAGCAACATTTTATAGAGCGAAGTTTTTGTAAAGTCTGAAGGCCACAAAGTTAATCAACTAGATCTTTTTAACTATTAAACTCACTTTTTCTGACCGGTAGGGTTCAATTCTGCTCCCAAATAGGTCTGTTTTTTAGTGTTTTTGTAACCTCTGGATAGGCGCTCGTTAAGAAGGCATGAAAATGACCTATTGAAAAATTTTTTGTGTAGAAGAAATTTTTAATAATTTTTGTATGGATGTAGGAGGAAAGAAATTGAGCATTCTTGTCTTTTAACGGTTATTTCTTCACTTTAAATAAGAACCTCAGCCAGTTAAAAAAACAAACTAGTTGAGCCGTAGAGTTTACGAACCCACTTTTTTTAAAGGGGGGAGAAAAATTTTAGAAATTACAAAGACGAGGAACAAGAGTAAATGGTGCTATAAACCAAGAAACCAAAACAAAATTAAAAACAAGAAAAGATTGAAAACAGGAGATCGAAAGCACTATTCGCATAATCGGCACAGAAAACGTGTATCAATCCCAACAGCTGATGCATTTTTTTTGGAAAAAAAAAATCCCACTTCACAAATTTTTGGAGAATAATTATTTTATGAAATACAGTAGAACATAATAAGAGGCCAGTTCTGAGGTAAAATCAAATTTTGTAGTTACAAAGAGGACAGGATTTTGTAACGAAAGATAGTTGCATTTGTTTAATTTGCAACTTGGTAGCGCCATGTAACTTAGTAACTTAACTACAACTTCATGAAGTGGTACTGTTAAGAATTGGGCGAAGACAACGACGTTTTTGTGAAGCTGCCACCAAAGTCACATGTCTGTTAAGTGCGAGTAATGTTTAGGATCATGATTGGTGAAGCAAGTAATAAAAGTTTTATTAGTGTGTAAAAGTTCAAATTTTAAATTGTTGAGACGCATTAAGGCGCAACAGTGCCCATGGCCTGATGCACGATTGAATGTTTCGCGTATGTGGTTTCATACTTCTCAAAGCTTCTGACCTCTACCGTTCGTAAATCGCAATTTGCGCCTTTTCGAAATTGATTAACTGATTAACTCTATTATAGATGGATGTTTCTGAAGAGGAGGTCATTAATTTACTGCCTGTTGAGGTTTACAACGTTTTCAGAAAGTTCAGTTTCACATCATTTACTGAAGTTCAGGTATTCCTCCGAAAATTGCTGTTTGGAGAGTTCTTTGGTCGAGTACTTTTTTTTATAGAAGCCCATTAATTTCTAGCGTGCAACAATACATCAGCTTTTGAGGGCAAAAGACGTAATAGTTCAAGCGCCGACGGGTTCTGGAAAAACGCTGGCGTATGTGGTACCGCTGTTTTCCATTTTAGTAAAGGTTAAGAAGGCGAGTGTTTTACGCTTGTAATTTTTTCTTTTTTTTTTTATTTTTTATTTAGTCAAAATTTTTTTGCTGCTTACGAATTTTATGATACAGAAAGCTGTAAGGAGTGGTTGACTTACGTGTTGCTTGTCTTTGTCGTTAAGCGGTCTTTATCAAAATATTTTATGCGGTCTTAATGCCATATGTGTATTTGGTTTTCGAATATTAAAATAAGTAATCAGAGTTCATTTTTAATCCAAATCATCAAATCAGAAGCTTTATTTTTTTTATTAAGCCGTATTTGTTTGAGGATGTAATTGGTTAAGATTCAAAGGTCTACTGGGATTTTATGAATCAGTTTGGTATAGGGGTATGCCAAAAGTATGGAAATTTACCTAACTGGCGAGCCTGAAACTTCACAGTTAAGATGTAGTATAATGATAACAGAAGAAGAGTAGTCTTTTTTTAGTTTCGGAAGTGAGAAGATATGTAATTGAATTTACCTAAATAGGTGTGTTCTCTCAGAAGTGGCCTAAGAATGAAACGGGAGCCTTGATTATCGTGCCGAGTCGAGAGTTAGCTTATCAGGTATGCACAGTCTGTCAACCGTTTGCGGATGCTTTGGAAATTACGCTCTGTGTACATGTGGGCAAGAAAAAAAGGAAAGATGGCATTTCGGACCCTGTGGATCTGAAGTATTAGTTCTGTGTTGTGATGAACTAGGTTTTTTTAAGCAACCGTTTTTTCACGCTTTTAATTATTTTTAGCTTCGGGGGCACTGTAGTAATAGCCACGCCAGGGAAGTTAGCGAAACTGGTTGGAGTGGCAGAAAATATCAAGTCATTAAGAAGTCTTGAATTTCTTGTAATCGACGAAGTGGACCGCCTTTTTGATGTAGCTTTCAAGCAAAGGTTTCTTATATCATTCATCCTTGTTAAATTTTACCTTCCAAAAAATCTAAACCGTTTTTAAATATTTAATTATGAAACGTTTTTTCATTAGGTTTTTGAAATGAATATTTGGACAGCCAGAAGTGTGTAATTCAGTGTTTGTTTTTAAACCATTTTTCGAATAGAGATAGTTTTTACACCGTCACTTAATTAGACGTAAACTTTCTCAAACACAAGTAGTTTTTCAGTATGACGACCATTATGGCTGTCCTACCAAAGCAGCGCAGGACGGGCTTACTCTCCGCCACTCAAGCGAAGGATAAGGAAGACCTTGCGATGTTTGGCTTGAGGTTTGTATTTTTTGTCCTCTTTTTTCAGAAGACATCCTAAATCGTTATGACTGCTTTCCAGAAACCCAGTCGAACTAACCTTAGCTGACCCTGACAAAGGAAAGACCTCTACTACGGGTGATGTTGTTACTCCATCATCCTTATTGAATTATTACGTGGTATTTCTAGTTTCTTAAATCCTTTTTCTTTTCTGAAGGAAACTGAAAGCTCTTTCATCTGGTCTTTAAATAATGTTATTTGGTACTATCTGTCTCTGAAAACCTTTCTAACTTGCAGGTCATTAAAGCTGAAGAAAAGCTTAGTGCTCTAGTAGAGTTTATAAGGAGTCAGAAGGAAGCCAAGATTTTAGTTTTCTTTTCTACTTGTAAGTGTGTGGAGTACATGAAAAACGTCCTTACACCAGTATTAAAGAAACGTCAATTGCTGGCTCTGCATGGGAAGAAAAAAAACGGTCATCTGTCACAGGTAATTAGAGAGTGCAAAAAAAAAAAAAAACAGTTTTTGATTCACAGACCAAATTCTACTTGCGATCTAGCTGTTTGGCAGTCACTTTTCCTTTTTAATGCAAATCAAAAATCGCATTTTCAACATCCAGTTAGATATGTTTCGAAAAACGCGAAGAAGCATTCTGTTCAGTACTGACTTACTATCGCGTGGGATTGATGTGCCAGATATCGATTGGGTTGTCCAGTTCGATATACCAAAGGAGTCCAGGTCAGTAAAGTAACTGTGCTTTTTTTTTCTTGTTATTGTAGTAGATAGGAATATCATTTTTCAGCTGGTATGTTCATCGTATCGGACGTAGCGGAAGGAGTGGTCGTGAAGGCAATAGTTTACTTTTAATTTCGCCAGAACAGGATGCGTATATCCAATTTTTGCAGAAATATGAAAAATTGGAACTTAGACGGATGAGGATCCCGACCTGCACAGCTCTGAAAGCTGAGCAATTACGAAACAAGATCATTAAACTAGCTTCCAGCGACCGGTATCAGGCTAACGTGATGTTTATAATACAAGACAGCAATAGCAAATTAATAGACCTTTTTTTCGCTACACAGTTTCAATTTTTTCCTGGTATTGCTTCGGCTATTGAACTCAGACAAGGAAGCTGTTTCAGAGAAATCTTAGAAAATGGCACGGAGGCGTTTGTGTCATTCATAGAATCCTACGGGAGACACGACTGCAATATTGTTTGTCCCCTAGCAGGTACTGTAGTTGTTTTGTAGCCGTGAGCAATTTTCAATTAACACTGCGCACTGTTAAGTTTTCTGCAAATTTGATTATTATTTTTTCAGTTCCGTTTTCAGCTTGCAGAGTATCAGTACCGGGTCAGTTATTTGACCTAGTTATATTTATAGAGTTGGATGTAGTTGGTTGCGCTCATGCATACGGCTTGTTAAGAATGCCACGTATGAAGGAATTCAGAAATCGGGACTTGAGTCTCTTTAAGCGTGTGGATATCAACACTGCTTCAGTGCCCTTCAAGAATAAAAAGCAGGAACAGAGAAGGCAGGAGAATATGCTAAAACTGCACACGGAAACAACCCCTGTGAGTTTAATGAAGTACTTCAATATATGCCACCTTGTATTTTCTGAAATTCACGT